GCAAGAGTTCCTTAAGATTGAGTCCCAGGCTCTTTCTTGCTCTTACTGTACTCTGAACCCACTCCATAGGCTAATTCAAACTCCACCATTCTTTCAATTACCCTGTATTGAGCAGGATTTCCCAAATTTACATTTCATGTCCAGTCTATATTATAATGAGTGGTACTCCAAATCTAATAGGCTACTTGACATCACCACTTGGGTAACTGGGTCAACCAAAAACATCTCAAATTTAAGTCATCCAAAAACCAAATTTATACCATCCCCCAAATCTGATCTCCTTCCAGTGTCACTATCTCAGTGAATATCATTGTCCATTCCAGAACAAGCCACAAACCAAGCAAGCATCCTTGACAACACCATCTCCTTTATCTTCCATATGTAATCCATCTCCAAGTCCTGCTGCTTTTATCTCCCAAACATCTCTGAAGCTGGTTCACCTCCTTCTGTCTCCAACAGCACTAACCTAGCCAAGTCATTCATGCATTCATTAACTGGAAGCCTACTCTGACCAGGCACTGTTTCAGGTACTGGGGAAATGGGAACAAATGAAAAAGACAACCCAGCCTAAGGGAGCTTACAATCCAGAGGAAGAGACAGATAATAACTAAACAGGTACTATTACGCAGTGACAAGCACTCTGAGGAAAATAAAGCATGGTGAAGGGATCAAGAATGCAGAGGATGGAGGGCCGAGTTTTAGATGAGGAGTGCCTATTCGAGAAAGTGCGACCTGAGTGTGAGTCACGTGGGCTTGCACCACCAGGAAGAAGCATGGTCCAGAAGAGGGAAAAGCAAATGCGGAGGCCCTGAGGTGGAAGCCTGCTTGGCCTGCCTGATGAACTGCAAGGTGGCCAGCATGATCAGAGTCCTCCAATGAAGGGCAGAGCGGAAGGACGTGAAGGTGAAGAGGTAGCCGGGGCCAGACCATGTAGGCCTCTGAAGGCCACTCTGGATTGTGCTCTAGGTGATGGAAGCCACTAGAGGTTTTGAGCAAGGGAGTGAGATGACCTCATTTATCTTTTACATAGATCATTCTGGCAGCTATAAGGGGAACAGATGTTGGTGGCAAAAAGGTAGGCATAGGGCACACGTAGGGGTCTTTGTCAGGCAGGAAGGGCCAAGAACAAGACTAACTCACACATATTAAACAGGGCTACGGTGCATTTGGGCTCCACTTTCACCTTGTAAGAAATTCACTCTTCAAAACCACTGCATGCTATTTCACTGGGCTGCTAACCCCAACAGCACCTTTGTGCAAATTAGAAAAAGACTCCTGCCCTCTGTGCAGGAGCCCCGGCAAATCTCGGGGAGTGGAAGGCAGCCCCCAAGAGACCCCTCAGCTGACCACCCTGCACAAGTTCAGTCCGCCCTACGTGGTTTCTTGCATAAAAGTAACAAAGGAAGAGAAAAAGACAAGGACAGAAGAACGCTTTTCCACTGGAGGTAACTGTTTACCTACATCATCCCTGGATTTTTCAATTTTAGATTTGAAGAATATTTCCACATTTGAATGTAAACCAAACTCATGAGATGCATAAATTGGTTTAATCACATTATTCTTATTCTAACTCTTGAAGAAAAGCACAGCCCCGGTGATTATACTTTGGGTTCATTTCCTAAGCAAGAGACTCAGAAGAGACCCACATCCTTTGATCTATCTCCTCCCATCTCTCAATTTAAAACATACACAGCCAGGGATGACAGTTTTTCTTTTTGGTTTGTTTTGTTTTTCCTACTTGTGAATAGTTTTGAAGGGAAAATAATTTTTTGTGTGTGTGAGGAAGATCAGCCCTGAGCTAACATCCATGTCAATCCTCCTCTTTTTGCTGAGGAAGACCAGCCCTGGGCTAACATCTATTGCCAATCCTCCTCCTTTTTTTTCCCCCCCTTTTCTCCCCAAAGCCCCACTAGATAGTTGTATGTCATAGTTGCACTTCCCTCTAGTTGCTGTATCTGGGGCGCAGCCTCAGCATGGCCGGACAAGCGGTGCGTCGGTGTGCGCCCGGGATCCGAACCCGGGCTGCCAATAGAGGAGCGCGTGCACTTAACCGCTAAGCCACGGGGCCGGCCCCAGGGAAAACAATTTTTTTAAAGCACATTTGGAGGCAACTAGAGGTTCTAGGAGTCCTATCCTGGGAGTATGAGCTTTTCTGTCACTGGCTGTTCAAAGGGTAGGTTTTGGTTCTGGTCTAGAGTTAATAATCTGAGGTACTTCCAGGTCCCTCACCTGTGCCCACAGGCAAGTGAGCACCCCTTTCCTGGGGAGGGAAAGCTGTTCTGAGGCCACTTTAGTCCAGGCCGATGGGAGACTCACCAGGGGTGCAGGACGCACACAACCACACATGAGCATTCCCAGGACGTCCTATCTTTCATCTTTGAGGAAACAGGAAGTTCACCCCGTTGAGGGAAATGCACACACTGGTCAGCTCTGATGTCCTTACCTCCTTCAGACATCCACTCATACTTGCCCTTCAGGAACGTCTTCCCAAACCCGAGAAGGGGCTAACTGAGGACTCTGACCCCACCACCAGGTGGCCCCAGCATCTCTCTGGACAGCTTTGGACTCCCGTCTTACTTTCTCTTCTGTTTAATCCAACTAATACTCACTTCACCCAGGAAGGGAGACCCACTCACAGATGAGAGGCTCCCGAGGTGAGGGGGAAGGGATCCTTTCTTCTCTTCCTCTGAGCTTTCAGGCCAGACTCAGCCCAACCTAATAGCGGGACTGACACCCCTCCTAACTCTCAACTCTTCCCCGCTGCCTGCATTCTCTCCTTACTCTGTGGTGGCCTCTGCCAGTTTCCACAAAATTAGTGTATTTCTCCCAAATGAGAGTTAAAAAGATAGAAAGATAGACAAGCGTGGATCCCACATCAAAAACTTCAACTTACAGTAGGAAAAAAGCTCCCCCGGTGTGGGGGCTTTGGGGATCGAGACGGCCTGTCCTTCAGCTCCTCTGCTGGGCCCACGTTATGAGGGGCCATTAACTGAGTCATCTGGACCTGACAACAGCCTCAGACGAGTCCTCCCACTTCCACACCAAGAGGCTCCACGTTGGCTGCAGGTTGATCTTTGCAGAATGTAAACCTGGGCCTGTGGCCAGGCTCCTTGCAGCTCTGCAGGGGCCGTGCCTGGCTCTCAGGCACAGACCAAATCCTGTTGACAGGGCTCCCTCGCCCAGCGGGATCTGGTCCCTGCTCCTCTCCTGCTGACTCTTCTATCCTTCTCCTCGCTCCTGTCTGCACATGCTGGCTTCCTTTCCCTGGACTCTCACACACCCTTTCCAACGCCTGGGATACTCCACATCCTGGGATCCGGCCCTTCCTCAGGGAAGCCTTTGCCGACACTGCCTCCTCCTGTTCTACACTGTCACTGCACTTTGTATCTCATGGTACCTACGAGGTCCTGACTGGAATTTGTCACTCCACACCCTTGTGTGCCCTCAGTCCAGGAACACTTGTCTCCCCACTCGACTGTGGGCTCCACCAGGGTGGACCTGCATCTTTCTGTCCACTGTTGCACCGCCAGTGCCCAGCACGGAACTCACTCTCCGTTTATTACGGGATAAGAAAACAGTGGGTGAGGGCTGGAACCTGGATCCTCCAGAGCCCGAGCCTCCCCAGTTCAACAGCTCTCTGTCCCCAACTTCCACGACAGCCGCCTCTCCCGTTTCTCTCCTCTGATGACTTCTTCTCAGGCTCAGCCACACACTCTTCTTTCTTAACCCACCTCGTAAATGTTGAGGTTTCCTGGGATTCTGTCCTTTGCCCTCTTCCCTCATCTGGTCAGCTCAAGGCTTCAAATGCCACCTTTGCAGCGACGGCTCCCTCACCTCCCTTTTGAGTTCCAACCCCTTATATGTTATACAAGTGTCCACTGGCAATCTCTACCCGAGTATTTCACTCCCATCTCAGATGAACCCATCCCACACCGAACTCGTCCTGTCCCCTTAACAACGGGCCCTCCTGCTCCCCGATGAACCCCACTGCACATGCCTTCATCTGGGCCCCAGTATCGTCTTGCCTACATTATGCATTAATCTCTGGAATGTTCACACCTCCACCTTTGCCTCACTTTAAATCTAAGCCGGACACTGCTTCTAAAGTGACCACTCTTATTAAATTCAATTTCATAAGGACTTCATGAACATATTCTCTGTGAAAAATTAAAACATTACATGTCAATAAAGTCCCCTTGCCTCACGCCCATTCTCCATCCCATTCCAAATGGAACCAGCTAAGCGGTGTTCCCTCAGCCCCGCTCTCTGCGCTTACACACATATTATACATTAGACAAACACCCACGTAATTTTCTTTAGACACAAATGGTGACCTATCATAACAATGCTCCATAACCTGCTTTTGTCCTTACCGCGTCTTGGAGCTCTGGCCACCTCACTGTGCCCTTTGTCCCTGACCGTGGTGCTGTTCGCCAGAGAGGGACATACCACAGCTTCTTAGCTATGCCTTTAGTGAAGGACATTTACCCTGTTCTGATTCAGACCCGTATATTTCCTTGAGGACCACTAATTCTTCTGCTCAAAATCCTTTAATTATTTCCAGTCACCCATGGGACAGTTCACATCTCTAAGAACTGCACCAAAGCAAGTTATAATGCGGTCCCCCCTTAACTTTCTAGTACCGTCTCCTTTCTCATCTCCTCTTTTCCCGTATACATTGAGCTTCAGTCAGAATGAATTATTTGCAACTCGTTAAACACAGCTTGCTGAATGAATACATGAAAATGTAGCCCTCTTCTGATACAACAGGAGAGAATAAAAAAGATTCTGAAAGACTCATTTGTGAAATGATTACCAGAGAAAAAGCAGAAGCTTGTGTGTGGGGCCTTAGCGTCCCCTTCTCCACCACTTCCTGAGGACTGAGAGCCCTGGAGAAACATGCCTGACCAACGTCTCCCAGCCGCACCGTCCACCTACTAAGCAGACTGTTGCTGCAGATATTCCCGGGCACCTCGGCCCCACCCACTCACCTAGAGACGAGCCTCCAGGACTTTCCTTCTCTGCCTTCCAGGGAGCTTCTCCTTGCTGCAACAGGGAGATCACTTCTGGTTTGGAAAATGGGAGTCCTGCTCACACACAAAAAAAAAACAAGACTTGGTTCTGTTTTCACACAAAGAGGTACCCCAAGATCTGAGTGGAAAAGTCAGGGGATGGTGCAAAGAGCTTCTGCAGGGTGCTCCGGTTGTGCCCCCACGATGTGAGGGGATGCGTTAGGGAAAGGCAAGGGACTTGCAGGACACGATGATGAAATAATTAGTTGTACGTTAGGAAATACAATAAACATGCAGCCTTGATTAATAGGGTACCAGTGGCTTTCTATATAAGATGGAATATGTTAGATGTAGACTGAATTAAAATTTGTAAAAAAGTATCTATGTACCAAAGTATTATGTACCACGTAGCTTGTTTAAAAAGAGAAAACACTGTCTGACTCCCCTTCAAAGATGGCTTATACAATGTTCATCTGGCTGGAAAAGAGAATTGGGGGAGGCAAGGGGTAGGAGAAGGCAAGGGGTAGGTCAGTGAAGAGGGCTGAGGGAAGCTCTCAGCTGAGAGATGAGCAAACAAATCACAGAACAATCATAGTAGGAAAATGTAGCCTGAACTACAAGGGAATTTCTAATGTGCAGCTGTGTAGACTGTCCCATGCATGGGGCAATTCCATGCCCATGAGGAGGACAAGTTTTTAATATTTATGGAGATCCAATTTGTACAATTCTAAGGCAAAACTTGTTAAAGTTTTTGATGACCCAAAGCTTTTACCAAGGGAAGCAGGTTCCAAGTTATCCCAATTTCTGAATTGTATATCTACAAGGAAAATTTCCTTACCCAATGAGAGCAGGTTACTGTAGTTCTCCAGCATCACATCCTGGTACAAGTTTCTCTGAGAAGGACCCAGCTTTCTCCACTCATCCCGAGTGAAAAGCACAGCCACGTCCTCAAATGTCACTGACACCTGTAAAGACAAGCCATCCCATCTCATCCAGGACCACCCACCACACGGTGAAGGCAGTGGGGAGATAGAGGGGCTACCATGAAATGCTTCTCATATTATTCTAGGTTCTGAAGGTTCTAGATCATCTGTTTAACGAACAATTGACCAGTAACAAATATAAACTGAGCAGCATGAAGTATGAACCAGGCTGTGTTAACCACAATAAGAGATATGTGGAGGTATTAAGGCCATAAGTGGGAGTGTTAATTAGAATAACCTTTCCGACAGCAATTTCATAATACATATTAAAAGTTTTAAAATGTGCATATTCTTTAACTCACCAATTACCATATTTGTATTATAATGAATAGTGCACAAAAATGCACACAGAGGACATTTCTCATGGTGTTAGAGATAGCAAAAAAATGGAACCAATCTAAACAATCACTGACAGAGGCTAGGCTAAATAACTTAAGGAACTATCTGTGTGCTCACTGAAGCCTGAGGACAGGAACAATGGAAATTAAAATATCTATCATTTATTGAGTGATTTTTCGGGCCAAGTACTGTTCTTAGAGCCTTATATTAATCTTTAGTGTAAATCTTTACCTTCAGAACAGCCCTATGAAGAAGCTACTATTATTGTCCCCATTTGACACAAAAGAAAACAAAGAGAAATTTATCCAAGTCACACAGGTGGTGTAAAGGAAAAACTCACTCCTCCTGCGCATCTCCTCTACTACAACTCTACGTGACTTCTGACACCAGGTATGTGGGTTTTCCACACACCAAGCAATTGTGGGACACCAGTGGGGTATCCTACAATTTAACTCAATTCTGATGTCATCTACCTGGAGACAGTGTCAGATCCCACAGGTTAAGGGCTCAGTCTTATGAGACCACCCCCTTCAATGCTAATCACAGGTTGTAACCTGTGCTTCTGACTGACTGGCTATAAATCGGAGGTTTCCACGACCCCCTCCTCAGGTTCAATTAATTTGCTAAGGTGGCTCACAGACCTCAGGAAAACATTTACTTACTAGATTACTAGTTTAATATCAAAGTATATAACTCAGGAACAGCCAGATGGAAGAGATGCATAGGGCAAGTTATGTGGGAAGGGGCGTGGGGCTTCCATGAATCTCCGTGTATTCACTAACCTGGAAGCTCTCTGAAACCCGTCCGTTTGGGTTTTTATGGAGGCTTCATTATGTAGGCATGATTGATTAAACCATTGGCCATTGGTGACTGATTCCACCTCCAGCCCCTGAGGCTGGGAGGTAAGGCTGCAAGTTCCAATCCTCTAATCAAGGTTAGTTCCTCTGGCAAGCAGTCCCCAGTCTTAGAGGCATTCCAAAAGTCACCTCATTAATATAAACTCTGGTGAGGTAGAAAGGGCTTGTTATGAATAACAAAACACACCCATTTCACCTTTATTGCTCTAAAGTTATAAAAACCAAATATTACTAATCACTTAGGAAACTGCAAGGGTGCTGAAAGCTAAGTGCCAGGAACAGGGATGAAGACCAAACATATATTTCATATTATAAATTACAATATCACAGCTGCTCAGTGGTAGAGGTGGCATTCCAATCCAGAGGGACATCCAAGGCTCCGTTCTTAACCACTCAGCAAAACTGCCTCTCAATGCCTACCTCACAGGGTTAAGAAATAAAGGAGATAATCCATACAATGGAGATGGATAGCAGTGACAGTAGCATAACAATGTGAATGTATTTAATGCCACTGAATTATATACTCAAAAAAGGTTAAAGTGGTAAATTTTGTTATGTATATTTTATCACAATAAAAAAGTTAAGACAGTAAAATAAACACATACACAAATATGTACATAAATAAATAATAAATAAAGGTGCATAGAAAATGATACTGAGGGATGCAGACCAAAAGAGTGACAGTGATTATCTCCAGAGGTTCGAGTAAGAGTGATTTTACATTCTTCTTTATACCTGTATTTTTCATTCTCTGAGATTTTTAACACGAGCATGCAAAACATGTGTAATAAGATAATTTATTGGCATATGGGGGGACTACAAGAAATGACCTTTGCTCTCAATTTATAATCCAACTGGCAGACAAAAAAAATACATGAAATAATTTGAAGGAAAGAAAAAATGTACAGCTGGACAGAACCGTATGCCATCTCCTAGTTCACTCCATTTTAGAGACGAGAAATACAAGGTCCAGGGCAGTCAAGACCCCAGGTCACATACTTTATTAGTGGCAGAGGCAGGACAATAATTAAAGTTTCCTTTTAACCCAGCACTCGGTATATTCTCTCTCTGTCTTAAACGTCCTGTCACTGAGTTTTACACACAAGTCCATGCAGTACTGACACATGGGCAGCAGGCAAGGTTAGGGAGAATGCTCTATAGGATTCACTCACACAGGGATGGAGAAGATTCTGGGCAAGAGAGCAACTTGGCTCTGCTGGAATGGAATAGGAAAGCCTTAGAAGAAACCACCCCAAATATGCAATGGCAGGCCCTAGCTGTAGCCTCAGGAGACCCAACTCCACCACATTTTGTGGGTCCAAAAGACAACATCACGGTGCAGAAGAGCTCTGGTACCGTGGGCGCGGGGTCTGCCCTGTGTTCTGCAAAATGCACCAGAGGAATGGCCAGACGATATCACGAGCATGAACTTAGAGGCCAGACACACTTGGGTTTCAATTCAGGTTACTTGACTTCTTTGAGCCTCAGTTTTCTCATATGTAAAATGGGGATAATAACTGCTAGGCTGTTATGAGAGTGAGAACAAATGTAAAGCCCTCAGGACATTCCTCAGCAACATTCACTGTTATTGTTAGATAAGGATGAGTAAAGAAAGGGGGAGTATTTTCTGGGTCCTAGAAACACTGTGGAGCAGCTTCTAGCTATCAACATTAATAGTACTAATACTAGAATAATATCGTTCAGCTACCACAACCACCGCATACTGAACACCTACTATCCGCCTGGCCCTGATCTAAACACTCTCCGTGCACTAATTCACTGATCGTTTCACCTACCCTATAAGGTAGGCACGGCTGTGATTCCCATTTTACAGGTGAGGAAACTTGAGGCACAGAGAGGTGGAGTTATTTGCCCAAGGCCCACAAACGGCAACAGAGGAGACGGGTTCAAACCCAGCCGCCTGTCTCGAGAGCCCCACTTCCTAACCACTGTATACACCTGCCTCTCCACTCCGGGATCCCACAAAACCCTCCCTGTGGCTTCCTGAGGAGTCTTCTCTCTGTCCTCGGAGTCAAGAGACCTCCCCGACTGTGTCCCCTCCAACATGGCTCATCTTTGTTCACGCACTGGCTCACCCCGATGGGGTCCCTCCCGCATCCCCACAACATACAGATCAAAATGGCAGGTCAAGAACTCTTTTCAACAGAGTGATAGAAGCAAGGCACACAATCCAAAGTTAAGAGGGAGAAAAAACTGAAACCTATGGGCTGGAGAGGCCTGGGGAAGGTATCATGAGGATTCTCAGGGGTGGAAAGAAAACGGAAAGCATTCTTGCCATGGGGAGGGATCGGGGGGAAACACGGGTGAGCCAAGGAGGCGGGAGGAAGGAACTCTGCCAAGTGTGCGTCTGTGTTTGTTCTGTTCCCAAGTGACAGAAGACACGTGGCATCTTACCTGTGGAATTAGTACTCACACAGTGAATTGAGATGAATGAATACAAGAGTGTCTCTTAGGAAAAGAAAAGAGAAACGCTAGACTTGGACTGGGGGAGAGGAGGCAAGCATTCCCTACAGAATCCACCATCCACCAGGGTGGACCAACTCCTCAAAGGGAAAAGGAGTTGCTCCAAATCCTGGAGAGCTGTATTGGACAGAGAACTTCAGTTGGAGGGTAAAAAAGCCCACATCTGTCCCTAAGACCTGAGACGGCAGTGAACTCACCTGAGACCTTGCTTCCCTCTGTTTAGCAGCCATGTCCTCTTTCTGGGCTCTTCCCAGAGGATGGCCGGAGACTCCAGAAGGCAGGTCTGAGAGAAGAAAAAGGGAGCCAGGAGGAAGCGCCTTCCGCTGTCCACCCCTCAGAATCACAGCTCTGAAATCCTTGCCCCACCTGAGAACGACCCCACGCGCCCTCAGAGAGGGAGGTGAGGAACTGGGAGCAGACAGGACCAGACAAGGGCTCGGCCGTCCTGGTGCGGCCCCAACTCTTCCCTCGCTCAGAGAAAAGGGACCTGGGACTCCAGCAGCAGCAGCAGCAGCGACTCACGGAGCCTCACCGCGTGCCACGCACCGTCTGCATCGGCTGGTCCCGCAGCACAGCTGGCACTGCCAGCAGCCCCACCTTACGGATCGGGAAACTGAGGGCAGAGCGGGAGCGAACGCCGCGGGCCACACAGCCGGGGAGTGCGCCCCAGAGCATCCTCTAGCCTCCCCGCGTCCGGGGGACAACCTGTCTCCACCTCCAGCTCTTCCCACCCAATTTCTCCCCTCCCGTCGAGGAATCGATTTCCAGATTTGAGAGACCACTGCTTCGGAGAGCGGAAACATCAGCTTTCCCGCGGCCGCCGCCTGGAGGAACGGGACAGACACCAGACCCGCGCGCCAGTCCTGACTGCCGAGCGGAGAAGCCGGCAGCTCGCTCCGCGCGTGCACAAACCCTGAGGCCGCCGCCCGAGGGACAGCGGCGACGGCCAGACGGATGCACGTTTCCTCAGTTCACCGACGGCCGCCGGCGGAATTCAAGCTCCGGCCGGGCCGGTAGCGCGCTGGGGGCGGCCGGGGCCTGGGGACCAAGTGCCCGACCTGACGCGGGCAGGGGACAGACCCGGGCGCCCGGCCCGCACCCGTCCGCGCGCACAAGGCCCCGCGCGCGCCCCTCGGGCCTGTGCCCGCGCCCGCGCCCGCGCTGCATCCTCCCGAGTCCCCAGTCCGCCCTCCCGCATCCGCCGACCCCCGCCGCTCACCTCACCCAGGCCTCGGGGGTTCCGGGTCCCGTGCCTCCCGGCCGCGCTCCGCAGGAGGGCGGCTACCGAACTTCCCCGGCCCGACAGCCGCCTCCGGTCCAGATTACTCCCAGGGCGACGCCTCTGCGGACCTCAAGCCCCGGATCCCCTCGCTCCCGCGGCAAACCCCGGCGCCCCACGCAGGTCTCGGAGGGGCGGGACAGGGGCGACTAAGGGACGGCCGCTAATCCCTCTGGGAAATGTAGTCCACGCGTGGACTCGCGGATTCTGGGAAGTGTAGTTCCCGGCTCCTCTCTGCGAGGCGGGGCCCTGTCAAGCCTGTCACGTGCCCGGCTCCCACTTCCGGGCTCGCCGCCGCGCTGTGTGGGCTGCGGGGCGCCGGGTCCAGGTTCATGCAGAAGGAAAGGGAGGTATCTTGTAGATATGTATCTGCATAAATGGTAGTAAGGCAAGTAGACAACTGCCAGGGACAAATCTATTTCCCTTTCAGTAGTTCAACAAAAGTGTACTGAGCATCTGGTGTTTGCCGAGCGCTGTTGTAAGCTGTCGGAAATAGGTCCGTGAACAAAGCAGAGGTCATTGCCCTCGAGAACTTTTTGGGGGGAAAGATACAGAATAAGCCATGAATGTAGTTATGCAGCATTTTAGAAGGCAGGCGTTGTAGAAAAAAGCAAAAGGAGAGCAGGATCGTGGGAATGTGGGCCTGTTCGGAGAGTAAGAGGGCGGGGTGGCCTCCCTAAGGTGAGAGCGAAGGGAAGGGTCGTTCCAGGTACTAAGAAGACCACAGAATTTTTTTTTTACTAAAGGAACACATGTCCCATTTAGAAGGTTTGATAAATACAGAAAGAGTAAAAGAAAAATGCACTTTATGCCACCACACAAAAATAAGTGGTTAACATTTTGGTGACATTTTGTAACAGCCCTTTAAACTCCATATTGATCAATCATTGCCACTCTTGTTTTAACAAAATGGAATATTGCAGATAGCAGTTGTAACCTATTCTGGTTTTTCCCCCACTTAAGAATATGCCTTGGGGACCAGCCTGTGTGGCCTAGTGGTTCAGTTAGTCCCACTCTGCTTTGGCAGCTGGTCCTGTTTGGGTGCGGACCTACACCACTCCTCAGCCATGCTGTGGTGGCGACCCACATATAAAACAGAGGAAGACTGGAACAGATGTTAGCTCAGGGCGAATCTTCCTCAGAAAAAAAAAAGGCCTTGAACATTTGAATTTGCCAATAAAGATTCTCTGTCTGTAGTGTTTTCAATGGCTTCCGTGTGTTCCATTGCTTCTAATTAAATTTTTTAGTCAAACATTTAACTAAACTGGGCTTATTTATTTAAATATATTTAACTAAACCTCTATTGTTATATTATTTCCAGTTTTTTTGCTCCATTAATATCCTTGTAGCTGTATCTCTGGAGATTATTTTCTTAGTTTAAATTCCTTGAAATTGAATTGCTGGATCAAGGACTGGTAGGATTCTAAGCACGTTGCCTATTTGCCTTCCTGGAAGATTTTACAATTTGTATTTCCATAAGCAGTTTGTGACAATATGTGCCTAGCACCCATGCCCACTCTGGGATTTTTCTTTTTAATGCTTTTTAAAAAATGCTTTTGTTTACTAGAACAAATTTTTTTATATCTAATTTTGAGTACTCGTGAAATTAGATATAGTCATGCATTGCTTAATGACAGAAATATGTTCTGAAAAATGTGCTGTTAGGTGATTTCGTCGTTGTGTTAACATCATAGAGTGTATTACACAAACCTAGATGGTATAGTTGACTACAAACCTAGGCTATATGGTACTAATCTTATGGGACCACTGTTGTATATATGGTCCATCATTGACTGAAATGTTATGCAGTGCGTGACTGTATAATGTCTTATGTTTATTGAACCATTTATTTTCAGATGTAAATTGCTTTATATAGGTATTTTGGCCATTTTGTGTTGAAATGTTCAAAATTTTGGTATCATTTTGAAGTACTCTATATGCATATTTTTTCCAAAAGAGAAAAGTGCTTTGTTGTTTACCCAATGAAAATAATGCATTCATTATAAAATTTTTACACACAGTGTGTGGAATGAAGAACATGTAATAAAGAAATAAGTCCAGCAGAAACACTGACTACATCTATTCATATATGCTATTGTGTGTGCATACTCACATTTGTGTGTATGAAACAAAAATAGAATCCTGTTTCTCATATTTTGTAAAATGTGAAATATACATATGGAAAGCCAATTAGAACATATAATCCAGTATAACATGTGATTATAAAGAGAACACCTCTGTAAACTTCTACCCAAGTTGCGAAGTAGACCCCTACTGACAGTCGGTACCTCCTTTCTAATCACAGCTACTATCATGACTTTTGAGATTGTTTTTTGCTTTCCTTAATAGTTTTACCACCCATTCATGCATCCTTATAGAATAGTTTTACCTGTTCTTAACTTTATATAATAGAATCATACAAATGTATATTTTGTGTGCTTTGTCTGCAAACGTTTTGTCAGATTCATTCTCATTGTTACATGTAGGTTTGCCTACTATACTGTAGGTGGACATTTGTATTGTTTCCAATTTTAACTATTAAGAACCACAATAAAATGAATTTAGTAATATATGAACAGTGATGGTATATCGGTGTTCACTGTAAAAGTCTTTCAACTTTGCTTTGTGTTTGAAAATTTTCATAATAAAATGCTGGGAAAAACTATATCTGGGATTTGAGCCAAAATGGAATAGCCCCATTCCTCCAGTTCATCCCTCTTACAACCAAAAACCCCTGGACATAACACAACAAACAAACATAGGAAGACTCTGAAAAGTGGAAAGAAGAAGGCAAACTGTCTGAGAACCTCAGGGCTGAGGAGCAACACGGTGGTAAATTCCCTCATTTTCCTTGATAACCTTCCATATCTCAGCTAAGGTATTGCAGAAGCTTGCAAGCCAGAAAAAGCAAAAAATACATATGAAAAAAAAAGCTCTAAGAAAAGCATATCCCACTGAGTCAAAACTGGGAAAAGAGTGGCCTAACAGAGAGAACTTTTTTGGTAATACCTACCTTACTCCAACCAAACACCAGTGGAGAAACCATCTTCCTACTCATTTGAACTATAGACGCCAGAGGAAGTAGCACATTTTTCTCAAGTGGAAAGAAAAGGAACTGTCAACCATGAATTCTATAAAGAGAAAATATCATTCAAGAATGAAAGGGAGGGCCGGCCCCGTGGCTTAGTGGTTGGGTGTGCGTGCTCCACTGCTGGCAGCCCAGGTTCGGATCCCGGGCGTGCACCGACCCACCACTTCTCCGGCCATGCTGAGGCCACGTCCCACATACAGCAACTAGAGGATGTGCAACTATGACATAAAGCTATCTACTGGGGCTTTGGGGGGAAAAATAAATAAATAAAATCTTTAAAAAAAAATGAGAGGTTTAAAAAAAAAAAAGAATGAAAGGGAAATAAAGACATTCTCAGACAAAGGATAACTAAGAGTATTTACTGCTGGCAAAGCTACCCTTAAAGAGTAATTAAAGGAAATACTCTAAACTAAATGAGAACAGAAAAAGACTTGGAACTGTAGAAGGAAAAAAAGGATATCAGATTGGGTAAAAATAGGGATGAATAAAATAGACTATCCTACTTATGAGTTTCTTAAATCATAGATGATGCTTGAAACAAAAATGATAACACCATTTGCAGTGGTGCTCCATGTATGTAGAGGAAATACTTAAGACAATTATATTTATTTATTTTTAATGATCTATAAAATTGATTTATTATTTAGTTATAATTATTAGCAATTATTATTCCTTTTTGACAGTTTGCCCATGGTGATGGTGGGTGGTTATCTCTTGTGATTAACTTCATTTTTTTGTTTTGTTTTAAATTTTTTGTTTATTGCAGTAACATTGGTTTATAACATTGTATAAATTTCAGGTGTACATAATTATACTTCTATTTCTGCATAGATTACATCATGTTCACCACCCAAATACTAATTACAACCCATCACCACACACATGTGCCAAATTATCCC